CGGTAGCAGTGTGACATGTGCCCCATAAATATGTACAACTATTATGTATCCATGAAAGTTAAAAATAAAAAAAAATTTAAAAGAAAACCGTGCTAGGCACATAGTAGGTGAATGAATAAGATTTAGGCAGACCTCATTCCCTGCCGCCTCCTTGGAGGTTCCCTTTCTGGGCTCTCTCCTCCTTCAGCTATTTTCCATGCAGCTGCTCTCAAATACAGACCATGCCCTCCCAGTGTCTGAGGAGTAAAACCTGAATTCTGCAGCCGGCCTTTTAAATGTCTGCTCATCACCTTTCCAGCTCCTGCTCCGTGTCAAACACATCAGACTTTCTCCTCCAGGACATACGCCATTTTTACTTTTCCTGTAACACTGCCTCCTTTTTATCTCCTTTCTTACCTGCCTGGTGAAATGCTAGTCATGTAGTTCTAGCTCACAACTCATCTTTCCTGACTGCTGAGGAAGAATAAATTTCTACCTCCTCCAAGATCCCTATTTCTAGTTACAATGATTTATTTATAACCCCTTACTCAGTTACGTTATAATTATTCATTTACAATATCTCAATCACTATCTTTTCAACACCTCAAAGGTGAGATCTGCCCTTCTGCTATGCAGGAGAGCGCCTGGCGTGTACTGTAGTGGACGATAAAGGTTTGAATTAATTTAATTACCACAAAAATAATATTTGCCAGAATGTATGGTGTGGTTACCATGTGCCAGGCATACTGCCGAACATTTTATATGGATTAACCAACTCAATACAGCTGACAATCCAGTGAAACAGATACTATTAATGTTAGTTATTCCCGTTTTATAAATGAGTAACCTGAGCCTTCAATATATTAAGTAACTTTTCCTAACTTACAATTATTTGAAAAATAGTGAATGGGGGCATAAATATTGGGGTCCATGTATTCCCAACTAACACTTTGCACAGATATGTCTAGCTAGAAAATATGTCCTGCTTTCGAGGCAGAAATCATGTGTGTGCTCACGTGTGCGTGAATTCCACACGTCTGGCTTACACAGCTCCCATCTTCCTTGCTTTCTGTTTCTGTTTCTGCCTTTTCCTTTTGTTTCAGAACTTGCACTGATTCCTGATCCCTGAGTCCCTCTCAGAGTTGTCCTCCATAAATACATCTTCTAAGATTCTCTTTTTTTCCTTGACAGAACTTGCTCTTAAAAATCTTCCTTTCCGATGATCGTCCCCATTTGACTGTTCTTCCGTTCTTGGAGACTTTCGGACGCTTTGGCATCGACGTCATGGCTGGCCCCTCCTGTCACTGACTGTGAAAGACTGTGGGGTGTGAAATATAAGAGAGACAACTAGGAGAACGGTGCCCTCTCCAAACACGGGGGCTGGGCTGGCGCTAGCCCCGCCTCGGCAGGTGGAGAGTGGGCCATTTTCCGCAGCAGTCCTTGGCCCAGCAAACGTACCTTCCTTCCAGCCACCTCACCGCCACGCCCAGCATCCGTGTTGAGGGGCAGTCTCAAGCTTGCCTTACTTTAAACCTGCGCCTCGTTAGCTAATCCCAAGTAAAGTCATTACTTTTGTAAATGAAGTAGGGTAAGGTAGATGCTCTCTAGCTCACAGCATTGAGCAAGCTCTTACGTTAATTACAACGGAGGTGGTCTAGTAAGAGGAAAAGAAGCCAAGCCTCGGACAGTCCTTTAGTAGGTCCAGGAAGCGTGCCTTGCTGCCCGCCTCAGTTTCTCCTCCTGTGACACAGGTGACAATATTGAGCACATGACTATTTTGGAAAGCACCTTGACATACATTCTTTTCGTTATCCTGGGTTATGCAACAAAATGTCAGTAGCAACTTTTCTTAGTTTCTAATATTCTGGAGGGAAAAGGCTTCTGACTGAGTCTACCTCCCTCAGGACCTTTTGCGCTTTGATATTACCGGTGCTCTTGCCCCCACCTCCCTTTATTTTTCCCTTCAGTGTCTCCAAGATCATGACTGGTCACGTACTACAGCAGAATCGCGTTCAATGTTACTATGTAAACATTTTTAGAAAGTCAGGACAGTATTTTCTAATTAATAATATGCGTTTTGGTTTTCAAATAAGGTGCTAAATCAGTGGGAAACATTTCAATTCAATTACGGGCAATTTGTATTTAGCATATGGTTTTGCCAAGTAGTCTTTTGTATCCTGATTTAGGAGTCTTTGTCTATAAGCATTCAGTTTTTGTTTC